AATTGGGGGTGGTTTGTGTTTTTTCCTTGGTTTTTTTGGGCAAAATTGGTGGTGTTCTGCCTTTTTTCCTGGCTTTTTGGGAAAATTGGGGGTGGTTTGCCTTTTTTCCTGGCTTTTTGGGAAAATTGGGGGTGTTCTGCCTTTTTTCCTGGTTTTTTGGGGAAAATCGTTGGTGTTTTGTGGTTTTTCATTGGTTTTTTGGGAAAAATCGGGGGTGTTCTGTGATTTTTGTTGGTTTTTTTTTGGGAAATCAGGAGTGTTCTGCCTTCTTTCCCGTGTTTTGGGGGAAATTGGGGGCGTTCCATGCTTTTTCATGGGTTTTTGGGGGGAAATTGGGGGTGTTCTGTGCTTTTTTCCATGTTTTTAGGGAAAAGTGGTGGTGTTCTGTCTTTTTTCCTGGTTCTTGGGGAAAAACTGGGGGTGTTCTGTGCTTTTTCCTGGTTTTTGGGGAAAACTGGGGGTGTTCTCTGCTTTTCCCTCTTTCTTTGGGAAAACTGGGGGCGTTCTGTGCTTTTCCCTCTTTCTTTGGGAAAACTGGGGGTGTTCTGTGCTTTTTCCTCTTTTTTTGGGGGAAATTTGTGAGTGTTCTGCTTTTTTTTCCTGTTTTTCCCTGGAAAACTGGTGCCTGTTCCCCCTTTCCCGTGTTTCTGAGCTTTCCTATGGAGCACTGGAAGATCCCGAGCCGCGGTCCGGCCCCGTCTTTGCCCATTTCCCGTCGGGTGCCCTTCCCCAACTCCCGTTTCCCCGGGCAGGTGCTGCAGAGTTTCAAGATCATGGACTACAGCCTGCTGGTGGCCATCCACAGCCTGGACCAGGCGCAGCGCGAGCGCGCGGCCGCCGGCGGCCACCGCGAGCGCGACGGCGACAGGGACGGGCGCGGCCGGCCCGCGGCGCAGAGAGCGCTCTACTCCACGGCCATGGAGTCCATCCAGGGGGAGGCCCGCAGGGGGGGCACCATCGAGACTGACGACCAGTGAGATTTACTGGGATGGCCCTGATCCATTCCCCATTCCCTGATCCATTCCCATTCCCTGATCCATTCCCTGACCCATTCCCTGACCCATTCCCTGATCCATTCCTCATTCCCTGACCCCATTCCCTGATCCATTCCTCATTCCCTGACCCCATTCCCTGATCCCATTCCCCATTCCCTGATCCATTCCCATTCCCTGACCCCATTCCCCATGCCCTTACCCATTCCCTGACCCATTCCCTGACCCATTCCCTGATCCATTCCCCATTCCCTGATCCATTCCCTGACCCCATTCCCCATTCCCTGATCCATTCCCTGACCCATTCCCTGATCCATTCCCCATTCCCTGATCCATTCCTCATTCCCTGACCCCATTCCCTGCTGCCCTTTCCCAGGATGGGCGGAATTCCCGCCCGGAATTCCCGGGGGGAGCGGCTGCTGCTCTACATCGGCATCATCGATGTCCTGCAGTCCTACAGGTCAGTCATCAATTACTAATTAACTACCCGTTAATTAACCCACATTTTCTGGGCCTTGGGATCCCCCCGGATCAGCAGTTTCTGCCGTGGGCTTCAAACCCCGGGAGTTCCATGGGAATTTCTGGGAATTCCTGGGAATTCCTGCTCCATTCCCTCCCCGCAGGTTCGTGAAGAAGCTCGAGCACTCCTGGAAGGCCCTGGTGCACGATGGGGTGAGTGGGAAATGGGAATTTCTGTGGAAAAAGTGGGAATTTTTATGGAAAAATGGGAATTTTTATGGAAAAGGTGAGGATTTTTGTGGAAAAGCAGAATTTTTTGAGGGGAAAATGGTCCTTTCTTATGGAAACCCCCAGTTTTAAAGGAAAATCCCCAGCTTTTAAGGGAACTCCCCACATTTTAAGATCTTCCCCCTGAATTCCTGCGATTCCCACCCCAATTCCTGGGATTTATTCCCAAAATCCTGGAATTTCCCCCCAAGCCCCTCGGAGCTCCCCCCGCCTGCCCGGAATTCCCGGATTCCGGGGCTCATTCCCGTTTTCCCGGGTTCCAGGACACGGTGTCCGTGCACCGGCCCAGCTTCTACGCCGAGCGCTTCCAACGCTTCATGTGCCACACGGTGTTCCGCAGGATCCCACGTGAGTGCCCCGCAGCAATTCCCACGTTCCCCTCTGCAATTCCCAGATCTCGGCCCTGCTCCCCATTTCCCCCCTTTTTTCCCAGCTTTTTTCTGGATTTTCCCAGCTTTTCTCCTTCTCTGTCCCAAAAAAAAAAAAAGCTGGAAAAGTGATTTTTTTAATGGGTCTTTCCCCCTTTTCTGGGTTTTCCTGCTTTTTTTATAGCTTTTTCCTATTTTTTTTTTTTCAGCTTCTTTTTCCTTTTCCTGACATAAAAATTCCCTGGAAAAGTCGGAAAAGTGCTTTTTGTTTTTTAGGGATTTTCCCTCACTTTTCCAACCTTTTCCTTCTTCTCCTGCTTCAAAACCTCCCCGAAAACCTGCTTTATTTCCCCTGGGAAATGCTTTCCTCGTGGATTTTCCCCCTTTTCCTCCTCCTGCCGCCCCTCCCTGCCCCAGCGCCCCCGGAATCCCGGGAAAGCCGCGGTTCTCATGGATTTCCCTCTGGCAGTGAAGCCCTCCCCGTCCAAGAAGAGCCGGGGCGGCGGCGCCGTTCCCAGGAGGAGCTGCCAGGGGGGGATCCCGCTCCCGAACCAGCTCCCGGCCGCGGGGGACGCCCGGGCCGCGCCGGGCCCCGAGCCGGACCTGGAGCAAGGTGGGCACAGGGGCTTCCACCCCAAAAACCCCCGGTTTCATCCCACAGAATGCCCGTTTTATCCCAAAAATCCCAGCCCCATTCCCAGGTTCTTGACCCCAATCCCATTCCCAGTTTCCCGACCCCGTTCCCATTTTCCCGATCCCGTTCCCAGTTTCCCGACCCCGTTCCCATTTTCCCGATCCCGTTCCCAGTTTCCCGACCCCGTTCCCATTTTCCCGATCCCGTTCCCAGTTTCCCGACCCCGTTCCCATTTTCCCGATCCCGTTCCCAGTTTCCCGACCCCGTTCCCATTTTCCCGATCCCGTTCCGCTTCCCCGATCCCATTCCCAGTTTCCCGATCCCGCTCCCAGTTTCCCGATCCCGCTCCCAGTTTCCCGACCCCGTTCCCAGTTTCCCGACCCCGTTCCCAGTTTCCCGTTCCCAGTTTCCTGACCCCGTTCCCAGTTTCCCGACCCCGTTCCCAGTTTCCTGACCCCGTTCCCGTTGCAGGCTCCCGGCCGGATCTGCTGCCGCGCTCGGTGCCGGACGCCGGCGGAGCCTCGGTGGCGCCGTCCCTGTCCCTGTCCCTGTCCCCGTCCCTGTCCAGCCCCTCCCTGGGCAGCGCCGGCGCCTCCCCCCCCAGCAGGTGGGAGCGGGGCCGGGGATCCCGGCGGGAAGGGAAGGGATTGGGACCGGGAAAGGGATTGGGAAAAGGGATTGGGATCGGGAAAGGGGGGTTTGGGATTGGGAAAAGGGGTTTGGGATCATTGCTGAGGGGTTTGGGATTGGGAAAAGGGGCTTGGGATTGGGAAAAGGGGTTTGGGATCATTGCTGAGGGGTTTGGGATCAATCCCAAGGGGTTTAGGATCAGGGGAAGGGGTCTGGGACCATTCCCACGGTTTTTGGGATCATTCCTGAGGTTTTTGGGGCTGTTCCCAAGGCGCTGGGAGCTCTGCCCGCTCCAGCCCCTCTCCGGGAGGTTTCCCTGGAATGCCCCTGTGGAAAATGGGGAATTCCCACGGCTGATCCTGAATCCATCCCCGTGGCCGATCCCGGATCCCCGTGTCTGATCCCGGATCCCCGTGGCCAATCCCGGATCCCCGTGGCCAATCCCGGATCCCCGTGGCCGATCCCGGATCCCCGTGTCTGATCCCGGATCCCCGTGGCTGATCCCGGATCCGTTCCCGTGTCTGATCCGTTGTTCCCGCAGGTCCGTGGGGGTGGAGGTGCACCCGGGGCCCGGCGCGGCTCCCGCCCCCTCCCTGCCCAGGTGAGATTCTCTGGGATCTTCCCGGGAAATCCCAGATCTGGGGTGTTCCCCATTCCTGCTCCCAGGGCTGGAATTCCTGTGGGGCTCCCAGGGAACGTTCTCTCCATCCACAAATCCCATGGAATTCCCGGGAGGAATTAACCTGGAGGATTCTCTCCACGCATGGGAATTTCATCTGGAATTCCCGGGGATCCGCTTCATCCGTGAATTCCATGGAATGTTCATGGCGTTTTCTCCTTATCCTCCTTCTCCATGGGAAAACCCGGATTTTCCAATGCTTTTCAGGTGGTTTTCCCAGGATTTCCTGGGAATTCCGTGGGAAGAGCAGGGGGTTGGGATTTAGGCCTGGGATTTCTTGGATTTCCCCCCAAATTCCCGTTTTTCTGTTGTTTTTCCAGCGGATCCCCCGGCCCCTCCCTGCCCCTGGAGCTGGAGGAGCTGCAGGAGACCGAGATCAGCTTCGTGAGTGTTTTCCATGGAAAAAAACGGGAATTCCCAGGGACTGGGGGGGTTGGGTCCCTGAATTTCCTGGGAATGCAGCGGGATCGGCTCTTCCCTCGCTCCTGGGGCTTTGGGCAGCCCAAAATCCCTGGAATTGCCCAAAAAGAAGGGAAATCCTTCATTCCAGAGCGTCTGGAGTGTCCCAAATCCCACCCGGAGCATTCCCAGATTTCCCATCTTTAATTCCAACAGGATCTGGGGGAAAATTCCTGCCCAAAATTTCGGGAAATCTGTTTAAAAAAGAGGAAAATTCCTCATTCCCGAGTGTCTCCAATAAGTCTGGAATGTCCCAAAATCCCTGGAATTGCCCCAAAAGCAGGAAAACCCCTCATTCCAGAGGGTCTGGAGTTCCCCAAATCCCACCCGGAGCATCCCCAGCCTCCCCCTCCTTTCCCAGGGCTGGGAATTCCGGGGTAAGCCCCAGGCATTCCCAGCTTCCTCATTCCCGGCTTTTTCCCTTCCAGTGAGCACCTCGGGATTCCTGCTGGAGCTGCCCCTGGAAAGTCCTCGGGATTCCCCCGGAATTCTGGGAAAACCCAGCACGAGAGGGATGGAAACCTCGGGAACAGGCACCCGGAATTCCCAGGGATTCCCGGATTTTGGGATGAAAACACGGGAGAGAATTCCTGGAAAATTCCCAGCGGGAGTCGGAGCCGCGCCGATTTTTTTGTGGAATTTTTTTGGGGGGCGGGGGGGGGAATTTTGGATTTTTTTTTTTGGATTTTTATCCCGATTTTTTTTTTTTTTTTTGGAATTTCGGTAGGATCCCATCCCGGTTTTCAGCCCTGTGGGAATTCTTGGGATTGTTCATTATTAATTATTAACTTTTAATTTTTTATTTCAGAAATCGGGATTTGCTCCGGGTTTTCCATGGGAAATCCCCTGGAAAACAGGGAAAAAAAGGAGGAGAAATCCTGGAGAAGCTCTGGCTCCTCCTCCCTTTTCCCAGCAGGAATTTTGGGAAGCTTTTCCCACAATCTGGGAGGAATTTTTGGGATTTTTGGGGATTTTTTTGGGGAATTTTTGAGGTGTTTTGGGGCATTTTTGAAATCCGAGCCCATCCTGGGATTTCCCCCGGATTTTTTAAGGATTTCTCAGCCCAAATCCCATTTTTCCAATCCCCAAATCCCATTTTTTAACACATCTGACAATCCCACAAAATTCCCAGAGCAGATTTTGGGATGGGATAAAAAACCCCAAACCCAGAACGAGGGATTCCCCACCTGGATCCATCCCAAAAATTCCCAAAATTCCCAAAGTCCCAGAGCAGCCCCCGGGGCTGGGGCTGATTTCTGCTCCATCCCTGATTTTTTTATGGAAAAATCTCCTTTTTCTTTCCCCAATTCCCTCTTGGAACGACCCCATTTTTATACAAAGCCTGGAATTTGTGGAGCAGGGAGGGAATTCCTCCCCGGGCTCTTCCCTTGCCCAGGTTTTTTTAAGGAAATCTGATTTTTCCTGCCCCAAATTCCCAGATTTCCCCTCGGAGCGGCCTTGCTGCCCGAGGGGATTCGGGGACAATTCCATGGATTTCCCTTTTCCTTGGAATGTTTGTCTATATTAGACAAAGGCCCTCCCAGTCCCCTTTTATTCCCATTTTTTATCGGATCAGGAGGGGAAATTTCCCCCATTTTTTCCCAATTTCCCCATTTTTTTCCCCAATTTTTTCCCAAATTTTCCCAATTTTTTCCCATTTTCCCCACTTTTTTCCCCAATTCTCCCCGCCCCCAGAAAGGAATATTTATGAATATTTAAATATTTTTGGGATAATTCCCCTTTTTCCTGGGAATTCTCCCCATCCAGAGGCTGGGGGGGGGAGGGGCTGGAATTTTTGGGATTGGGGTTTTTTTTTTTGGGCGGGGGAGGGGCGGATTTTCCTGTTCCAAAGGGGGAAATTTGGGAATTGTGGGGGGAATTTTCCAGGAGAAAAAGAGGATTTGGCTCTTCCCGGGATAGGAACGGAATTCGTGGAATTCTCCTGGACCTGGAATGGAATTAATGGAATTTTCATGGACTTGGAATGGACATTTCCCAGATTTGGGATGGAATTTCCCGGATTTGGGATGGAATTTCTCAGATTTGGGATGGAATTTCCTGGATTTGGGATGGAATTTCTCCGATTTGGGATGAAATTTCCTGGATTTGGGATGGAATTTCCCGGATTTGGGACGGAATCCGTGGAATCCTCCTGGAGTGGGACAGAATTCATGGAATTCCCTGGACTTGGGACGGACTTTCCCTGGGTTTGGGGATGGAATCCGTGGAATTCCCCCCGGAGTTTTCTGGGACTTTGCCCGGAATGTTCCCGGATGTGGGGATGGATTTCATGGAATTTTCCCGGAATTTCCCCGGAATTTGGGATGGAATTATTTCCTGGATTGGGAATGGAATTCCTGGAATTGCCGTGTCCAGCCTGGAATTGTTGTCACCCTTGTCCCCAGGTGGGGCCGGCGGGAGCCCCCAGCTCTGCCTGGGGACATTTGGGGACCCTGGGGACATTTGGGGACACCCCTGGGGCGGCACAGAGGGACAGGAGCCCCCCCCGGGCTGTTCTCAGAGCCCCTCGCAGACCCCACGGGGGGCGGGGCCCTTTGGGGACAGTCCGGGACTTTTGGGGACAGCGGTGTCCCCCGGCCGCTGTCCCGCCCAGCCCAGAACTACAACTCCCAGCATGCTCCGCGCCGCACCTCGCCTAGACGGGGTGCGCTGATTGGCCGCGGGGTTTGGACCAATCAGCGGGCGCGTTGTTGGGCGTTCCGGGGAGCGGGCCGGCGCTGAGGGGAGGAAGGAGCCAAGATGGTTCTGGAGAGCACCATGGTGTGGTGAGAGCCCCGGGAGCGCCGGGCAGCCCCCGGCAACGCCCGGGCAACCCCCGGGAACCTCCGGGCAACCCCCGGGAACCCCCCGGGCAACCCCCGGGAATCCCCCGGGCAACCCCCGGCCCGCCCGGCCGCTTCCCCTGAGTCATGGCGGGGGGGCGGAGCGGGCCGGGACTGAGGGGAGCGGGGAGTGAGGGGACAAGGGGGACAGAGAGGGGATATGGGGGACAGGAGGGGACATAGGGAGGACAGGAGGGGACAGGGGGAACAAAGGGGACAGTAGAGAGGTGCAGGGACAGGAGGGGACAGGGTGTGAGGGGAGGGCAGGACCTGAGGCCAGGGGGGGCTGAGGGGACAGGGAGGGGCTGAGGCAGAGACGGGGTAGGTTCTGTGGGATGAGCTTCAACTGTTCCCAAAAAAGCCGGAGTTTGGGGGGATGAACGTCAGCAGTTCCCAAAAAGTCACAGGTTTGGGGGGATGAACATCAGTCATTCCCAAAAAAAAGGAGACTTTGGGGAATGGATGTCAGGTATCCCAAAAAAATCCGATTTTAGGCACCTAAACCCCATTTTTCCCCCACAAAACCCCAACCACCCCAGGAGAGGGAGTCTCCCGGGATCCCCCCGAGCCATTCCCGGTTTTTTTTGGGAATTGCAGCGTGGACAACAGCGAGTACATGCGGAACGGGGACTTCCTGCCCACGCGGCTGCAGGCGCAGCAGGACGCCGTGAACATCGTGTGCCACTCCAAAACCCGCAGCAACCCCGAGAACAACGTGGGGCTCATCACCCTGGCCAAGTGAGGGGCATTCCCGGGAATCCCTGGCGTCGGGGGGCTGGGAATTCCCGGGATTGGGGGGCTGGGAACGGTGGGGAGCTGCTTGGGGGTGACCGGGAAGGAGCGCTTGGAAAATGGGAGGGATCTGGGGATTTTGGGCTCATGGCAGGGGGGAGCTTCAGGAATTGTTGGAATGGCTCATTCCCGCCTGGAATGGGAGGGGTCTGGGGATTTTGGGATCGAGGGAGGCGGGGAATTCACAGAGGGGAATTGTTGGGAATAACTGGTGGCTGCTGGTTCCCGCTTGGACTGGACTGGGAGGGATTTTGGAGGTGGGGAAATCAGGGAGGAGCTGGGGAGCTCAGGAATTCTTGGAAAACAGTTGGGAATGGCTCATTCCCACTGGGAAGGACTTTGGGGACGGGAGCTTCAGGAGTTCTTGGAATGGCTCGTTCCCACCTGGGATGGGAGGGATTTTGGAGGCAGGGAAGGTTGGGAATTCAGGGAGAAGGAGCTGGGAATTGTTGGGAACAAGCTGGGAATGGCTCGTTCCCAGTTGGAGTCGGGCTGGTCTGGAATGGGGGGGATTTGGGATTTTGGAGGTGGGAACTTCAGGAACTCTCGGAATGGGAGGGATTTGGGGATCGTTGGAGGTGGGGAAATCTGGGAATTCAGGGAATTCCCTCCCAGATCGCCAAAGAAATCCCCGGGAGTCGCTGCTGTGGCTGTGAAGTGCTGCAGCCCCGCAGCTGAGCCAGGCTGAATCCCAGGGGGAATCTCCTCCCTGAGAGAGTCCCAGGGGGGAAATCCCCCCCAGATTCCTGGCAGTTCCTCCAGAATTCCCGTTGTTCCCGCAGTAACTGCGAGGTGCTGACCACGCTGACCCCGGACACCGGGCGCATCCTGTCCAAGCTGCACACGGTGCAGCCCAAGGGCAAAATCACCTTCGGCACCGGCATCCGCGTGGCCCACGTGAGTCCCGCGGCATTCCCGGGAATTCCCGCAAGGCGTCAGGGCCTGGGTGTGGGAAATTGGCTTTGCCCGGGCTCCTAGCTGGGGAAATGTGGGTTTCCTTGGGTGTTTGTGGTGAATATGGTGGGGGAGGTTTTAAAGCAGAAATCCATGGGAATTTCAGAGAAGTCCATGGAAATCCACCATAAATTCATGGGGATCCGTCATAAATCCATGGAAATTTCATAGAAATCCATGGAAATTTTACAGAAATCCCTGGAAATCCGCCATAAATCCATGGAAATAAATGCCTGGAAATTTCACGTAAATCTATGGAAATTTTACAGAAATCCATGGAAATGTACTACTAATCCATGGAAATTTTACAGAAATCCTTGGAAATTTCACAGAAATCCATGGAAATCCACCATAAATCCATGGAAATTTCACAGAAACCCCCCTGAATCCCAAGATTTTCAGCCCAGCCCTGTCCTGCCCCCCTCAAGCCCCATCCCCTGGAGCAGATCGCGGGATCTGGGTCTGGGGGATCCCCGTTTTCCTGGGAATGGCCCCAAATCCGGGGTTTTGTGCAGCTGGCGCTGAAGCACCGGCAGGGCAAGAACCACAAGATGAGAATCATCGCCTTCGTGGGCAGCCCCGTGCACGACAGCGACAAGGACGTGAGTGCCGCGGCGGGAACGGGGCTGGGATCCCTCGGAGCTGGGCAGCCGATTCCAGAGCAAATCCCGAGTTTCTGTGGGATCCGGGTGCTGGGCCAGATCCCAGATGCTGCTGATCCCAGGGAATTCCTGCTTCTCCCCAGCTGGTGAAGTTGGCCAAGCGCCTCAAGAAGGAGAAGGTCAACGTGGACATCATCAACTTTGGGGAGGAGGTGAGAATCCTGGGAATCCCCACATTCCACAGGGAATTCTGGGGCCTCTCCCGGCTCTGTGTTGGGGCTGGAAAATCCTGACGGGTGCTTTTGGGAACGAGGTCAGTCCTTGAGGGCTTTCCCTGGATCCCAAACCCTGCCCATGCCCGATTCCCTGCTGGGAACCTGCTGACAGTTGCATTCGGCATTCCCAGCACCACAACCCCACAAAACCCCAAATCCCTCCCCAGTCCCACATTCCCACATTCCCAGCCCCTGAGCGTTCCCACGTGCGTTCCCAGGAGGCCAACACGGAGAAGCTGACGGCGTTCATCACGGCGCTCAACGGCAAGGACGGCAGCGGCTCGCACCTGGTGACGGTGCCGCCGGGGCCCAGCCTGGCCGACGCGCTCATCAGCTCCCCCATCCTGGCGGGCGAGGGCGGCGCCATGCTGGGCCTGGGCGCCTCCGACTTCGAGTTCGGGGTGGATCCCAGCGCTGACCCCGAGCTGCCTCTGGTAGGGATCCCAAAATTCCCAGGAATTTCGGCGTTCCCAGTGTCAAAATCCCACAAACCCCAAATCTCCCAGCTCCCACAGCGCCAACCCCAAAATTCCCAGGAAGCAGGCAATTCCCAGCGTCAGAAACCCCCGGATCCCCCCAGGCCGAGCCCCTGGCCCGCCCCGCCCCTCGTGCCCCGGGGCTGCCGCGGTCGCTGACGCGGGCGGGCGTTGCAGGCGCTGCGCGTGTCCATGGAGGAGCAGCGGCAGCGGCAGGAGGAGGAGGCGCGCAGGGCGGCCGCCGCCTCGGCTGCCGAGGCCGGGATCGGCGCGGCCGGGGGCGATGGTGAGGGGGCTGACTGTGGGGTTTGTGGGATTGGGAACGGGGTGGATGGAATGGGAACGGGGTGGATGGGATGGGGATTGATGGGATTGGGAAGGGGATTGATGGGATTGGGAAGGGGATTGATGGGATTGGGATTGATGGAATGGGATTTGTGGGGTGGGAATGGGATTGATGAGGTTGTTTATGGGATTGATGGAATGGGGTTTATGAGACTGGGATTGATGGGATTTGTGGGATTGGGAACGGGATTGATGGAATGGAATTTATGGGAATGGGATTGATGGGATTGGGAAGGGGATTGATGGGATTGGGATTGATGGAATGGGATTTGTGGGGTGGGAATGGGATTGATGGAATGGGGTTTATGGGAATGGGATTGATGGGATTGGGATTGATGGGATGGAATGGGATTGATGGGATTGATGAGATTGGAAATGGGATTCGTGGAATGGGATTGATGGAATTTGTGGGATTGGGAACAGGGTTGATGGAATGGGATTTATGGGATTGGGAACAAGGAGGACTAAAAAGCAGGATGGGTTCAGACTGAACACTGGGTGCGTGGGGATGCCCCATGGATTCCCGGGACACGCCGTGGATCCCGGGACGCCCCGTGGATCCCGGGACACTCCGTGGATCCCGGGATGCCCCGTGGATCCCGGGATGCCTCGTGGATCCCGGGACACGCCGTGGATCCCGGGACACGCCGTGCATTCCCTGCCCTCCCCGGCAGAGTCGGACGAGGCCCTGCTCAAGATGACCATCGGGCAGCCGGAGTTCGGCCGCGCGGGGCTGCCGGACCTGAGCTCCATGAGCGAGGAGGAGCAGATCGCCTACGCCATGCAGATGTCCCTGCAGGGCGCCGGTGCGTGCGGCCCGGGAAACCCGGGAAAACCGCAGGGAAAACCCGGGAAACGCCCGGGAATCGCGGCCTGGCTGCTCCCAGGGGTTTCTCCATGGATTTCTGGCGTTGGCTTTTGCAGAGTTTGCCCAGGCCGAGGCGGCCGAGGTGGACAGCGGAGCGGCCATGGACACGTCCGAGCCCGCCAAGGTGGGGCTGCAGGAATTCCTGCAATTCCCAGCATTCCCAGCATTCCCGTCAATCCCATCCCACCCACAGAACGGGAGTGAGGTCATCCTCAAGGTCCTTCCATCCCAAAGCATTCCAGGACTCCCTGTCCTGCTTTCTTTGGGATTTCAGGGACAAATGCTGGATCCTGCCCCGTTATTCCATGGATTCCCCATCCCTGGGAGTGTCCAAGGCCCCATCCCACACTCCAGTAACGCCAGTTCCTCTAGAGCCCTCTGGACTGGGATGATCCCAAATCCCCTGGGATGATCCCAAATCCACTGGGCCAATCCCGAATCCCCCGGGATGATCCTGAATTCCCTGGGTTTTCCTGTGGATCTGGATGATCCTGAGTCCCTTGGG